TATTTATGTTAATTATAAATGTCTGAAAGTTCCCTGAAACTTTTTCTTTGTAGCTTTTTATCAAAGACAGACTGGAGTTTGAAAGAAGGGTTGTGGATTGTGGTCCTAAGCCTTTGATTTTCAGTCTGTCGTTTTTGGAATGAAAATTAAAATCTACTTTTCCAATTGCCTGGATGTGGTGATGTATTTTTATACCCTTCACCCTAAATAAGAAACTGGAATCACACAATATTTAATACTTTCTAAATAATATTTTATTCTCAAGGTACAAATTAGACACAAAGTTTATTTGTATCAGTATCTAAGTATGGCCTCAAGACTGAAATGCCTTTACAAAGTTGCACTTAGGTTTACAGCTGGAAAGTCTGCAAGGCACTTTGGCCCCTGAACAAGAAAGCAGATTTACTGGAAAGAGCAGGTTATATATGACAGAGCAAGTAGGGGAAAAGGACATCACAACTAAACCAGGAGGATTTCAGAAAGGATGAGAGCCTGTAGGGCTATTGAAGGCCATAACTGGGGTGAGTCTGAAACCTTTGCTAGTCCAGAGCCATTTCAGAGAGCTAGAATTTCAGAGAAACAGGTAATATGCACCACTTGGCTGTGACATATAGGGCCTTGCCCCACAGGTCGAGCCCTTTCTTCCAAATGGTTATGAAGCATTTTAAGAACCAGCCTTCAAATTTATAATATAGAGGGAGGAGGAGGTGAACATGTACTGTTTTCCATGGATTTAGGATTAGCCTTGAGGACTGGGCTAACTACCATGGGAAATCAGTTCTGAAACCTGATTTAGAAACAATCTTGGAAGAGCATCCCTTGGTGAGAGAGGAACTTTTCAATGTTAATTATTAAGTATTTTAAGCAGTTCCTCCAGTCAGGGAGAATGTCTTTAAGAACTCATGATCTATTTGAAACTTTTAGCTAAATGCCTTAAGTTTTATAATTTCCAATTAGAGGAAGAAAATAAATGTGCACAACCATATTTAAAGAATTTTTAGCCCTTCTATGGCTCATGTATGCTTATCCTTTCTGCTTTTCAATTTCTTTTTTGTTTATTTTTATTTCATGTGTATGAGTGTTTTGCCTGCATGAATATAAGTGCACTCATGTCATGCAAAGCCCATGGAGGCTAGAAGAGGGTGTTGGATCTTTTGGAACTGGAGTTGCAGGTGGTTGTAGCGTCCATGCGGGTGCTCAGAATAGAACTTGGGTCCTCTGCAAGAGCAGCTAGTGCTCTCCACTCTAAACCATATCTCTAGCCCCAGCTTTTCAATTTTTTGATTGGAAGTTATAAAACTGTAATAAGTGGCTCAGAGCAAAATAGCTTCTCTCATTTGAAATGAGTACTTTTGCCAAGCATGGTGACGCACACCTTTAATCCCAGCATTTGGGATTCTGAGTTCTAATCTTATGAGGCACTGACCTACCTTTTTGTAACCCAGAATTTCCCAGTGTTGGCCCTTTTGCCCTTTCACACTGGTAATTCTTTGCTATGAAGGTTGTCCTGTACACTGTCGAGTATTGGGCAGTAGCTCTAGTCTCTCACTAGATGCCAGTAGTATCTTTCCAGATCTCTTCGTGGGGTGGTAAAATCACCCCTTATTATTCCACCTGAATCAGTGTGTGTAATAAACTTCACACCCTTTCAGTGGATATACTGGGCTGGCTGGCTATATAAACTTACTTTTCATTCTGATTCCTCCTATTCTGGTCATGATCATATTTTTTCAAATGACTGCAGCTTCTCCCCGCCCCTCATTCAAGAGACTTGTAAAAGAAGAATGAGAATATGAGTATCCTGTGTCTACACTAGGCCAGACCCTAGCATGCTGAGGACTATACACAGTGATTACTTCATAAAAGACATTTTTGTGATCGTATTCTCCAAATTTAGATACTAGCCTTATTACACACGTTTGCTAAAAGTTGAAATGAGAAAATGTTTAAGAAGTTAATTGTTTAATCTTAGACTCTAAACATTACTGAAGTAGTTTGGAAAAACATGAAAATATTCACTTAGTGTAAAAACCTAAGGGGGCTTGGGGAAATGACCTTCCAGACAAACATGAGGACCTATGGATCCAGAACCTACATAAAAAGCTGGGTGGGCAGAGCAGCCTACCTATAATCCCAGCATGTGAGACATGGAGACAGAAGTCCCTAGAACAAACTGATTAGCCAGACTAGCCAAAACAGAAAGCTCCAAGTTCAGTGAGAGACTCTGGCTCAGTGTATAAGTGGAGAACAATCAAGGAAGACACCAACGTCAACCACAGACCTACACACACCCACACGTGCGTGTGCACCTACACGTAGGTGAGCACGCCCACATGCTACGTAGATATATGTGTATACAAAAATTTAATAATTTTGGGGGGGGATGGTGGGCTTGAGACAAGTTCTTCTTATAGCCCTAGCTGGCCTGGAACTTGCTATGTAACCAGGCTGACTTTGAACTTGCAGAAATCTGCCTACCTCTGCTTCCAAGTGTTGGGATAAAAGGTATGCACCACCACACTCAGTTAATTAATAACTTTTAAAAAGACTTAAGAGCTTTTCTGTAAAGATCAGACATCTGAGCTAAAGACATGAATAAGCTAAAACTTTTCAATGAAAGAATAATGTACATTTGTAGAATTTGAGTAGATTCCACCCACTTTAAAAGTAGAGAAAAATGTATTATATGATTCTACTTCTAAAAATGTAAATTAAAATCTAATAAACAGGGTAGTCTTCCATACCTGATAGGTAAAGTCATATTCTATTCCCCAACATGAGCTCCACAGAAGAAAAACCTTAGGTCAAAGCCTGACATGCCAATGAGGCTCAAACCACCTGAAAATCTCCCCAGCAACCAGGTTCTGCAAGTTGAGGTGGAATGTTAGGAGGGAGGGTAGATGGAAGTTTAGAGGCATGGCTGAAGAGAGAATTTCATTTAGATGCCCACCCCTTTCCAACCTGCCCACTTCTCCAAGGCTTTATAGGGAGTTTTAGGCTATGGTGCCTCTGTCGGCAAAGACCCTGTGGCTCTCAGGAAAACACAGGCAAGTGTCAGTGTGCTGATACACCAACAAGCAGATGTTCTCATGTGTTCCATACTAGCATTCTTTTGACTCTTGCTTTCCCCACAAATATAGGATTGAGATGTTGTACATGTACCAACTAGGGATAGAGTTTGCATGCCCAGGAAGAAAGCCTGATAAGTACCTACAGACAGTAAATTAAGACATTCACAAAGTTACTATATTTGAGTACTGGTAGAAATTTGGGAAGTTATAGGGTAACTCTAGGATCCCCAAGAGATATTGTTTACAGAGTAGATGATAAGTGTGGAGAGTTCATTCTTTAGGAATTGGGATTAATTCAAAACAAGGAGTCAGAGTGTTTAAATTCATGGATTATAGAAGCTGAATGTGTTTTCTAGATCACAGTATCTTTGGTGATTCTCCATCTTTCCAGTGTATGCAAGTCCTTTGAAAAGATGTTTCCCTCGACTTAATTCTTCTTCGTGTTCTCATTTCTTGAACAAATATTACATGCCTATTTTATGCCAGACACTAGAAATTAATCTCCCTTTTCAGCTTGCCTTCCTTTGTCCTGAGGGGTTGGAGACTGTGGCTTCTGTAAACTTGTTTGAGCTTCTTTAGATTGGTTGTCGGCACATGCCTCCTGTAAGGCAGGGATCACGCTTATATACATTCACCAGCACATTTGTGGGTGTATTATACACATGGGAGCTAGTTAGCTCTGGTTCTTAATCTTTCGACAATGGAAAGGACAGATTTTGAGAAAATAAAACACTTCCTTCCTCCTTACTTGTGTCAGTTCCTAAGATCCAGTGTACTTGGAAGCTAGAGGGTAGGAATTTGTATTTTACATACTTGCCAACAAATCCTTTTTTTTGGGGGGGGGTCTTTTTGAGATAGGATCTCCCTGTAGCCCCAGCTGGCCTGGAACTCACTATGTAGACCATGCTAGCCTTGAACTCACAGAGATCCACCTGCCTCATGCTGTGATTAAAGGCGTGTACCACCACACCTGGCAACAAATCCTATTTTTATCCATTGCTTAAGACCAAGGCTCGGGCCTTAGAAACCCAAAAGAAGAAAAGTTTCATGTGTGGGAAAGGAGGAGTAGTGGAAAGATAGAAGAGATTCTAATTTGTTCATGTTGGCTTACTGAGCTCTCCCACATGCCAGGACATATATCTGAGTCAGAGCTTTGGACATCTAGAAAAAGTTTGTTCCTTAACAGGGAAACCAGATTCTGAGCAAAGCCTCAGAAAGCACATCTAACCAGATGTGGTGCACATCTATAATCCTAGAACTTGGGAGATGGAGGTAGGAGGATCAAGATTTCAAGGCCTGCCTCAGCTACTTGAGTTGGAGGCCAGCCTGGGCTACATGAGACTCTATCTCAATCAATCAATCAATGCATTTAATAAATGAAAAAGAAAGACAAGCAAATCTTCCTGTTCTACAACACTGCCCAGGGTTCAGCTTGGAAGTGGCCTTCATAATCTCCTCTATGGGCTGTGCACTCTGCTATATAAACATGAGAATAAATGAGGGACTCATGGGGCAGCAAGACATGCTCCAGCTACATTTTTGCCTTTGTGGTAGCAGTTGTTATTCTTCAAATATACTACTCAAAGAAGCAAGGATTCAAATGAAATGTGTTTTTATTAAGACAGCAAAAGATTGGAATGTGAAATGTATTCCAGTGACCATTACATTATCTCAAAGCTATTCAGCAGGACTCATATCTGAACAGAAATGATTAGTGACACTTAAGGGTAGACACAGAAATAAGAGTGCAATAAGTCACAGGCATATTTGTCAGGTTGCTTAAATTATTTGGTCATTTAAATGCTATGAAGATGGATGTGTATCAAGAAAGTTATAAAATGATTCACTTGCAAAACCAGTAAGGCAGAACATCATAAGCTCTTTGGCAAATCTATAATTTAAAGTGTTTTTCTCTTTTCCATCTTTTAGCTTGTCAAAATTCCCAAAAATGATCCCCTCAATGAAGTACATAACTTTAACTTTTATTTGTCGAATGTGGGCAAAGATAACCCCCAGGGCAGCTTTGACTGCATCCAGCAAACATTCTCCAGGTAAGTGATTCCTGAGGTATGCTGAAGGGAAATTTTCACTTAAAAGAGTTTTAAGTTAACAAACTACTTATTAACCATTCCCTAAATATTTATCAAATTTAATTATAGAGCTCATTTACTTAAACATATTAAGCGCCTATTGTGTAGAGAATTATGTTTGTCACTGGGATATAATCACAAAAGGTACAAGATTTAAAAATAATTGTGAGTTTTTAAATTAAAGTCAATTTTAAAGATTTTTAAAGACAATTATTCACTGCACTTAAGAGTGTCCTTTATTGCACTCCAGGCTTCTGTTCAAAGAGCTAGGAGGAAAAATATACATCTTGCATATCCTCTTCCTACTTCCCTGTTCAACTCTTAACTTAAGGAAGAGTTTTGTTTTTTGGTTTTTTTTTTTTCTTTTTTTTTTTTTTTCCTTTTCTAGCCAGCTGGACACTAGTTATTAATTCCAGTAAAAAGTGTAAGAAAAAAGTTAAGAACAAAAATGGTAAAATAAGAGAAGGAGAAAGATAAACACCCACCCAGGGCCTGATGGTCCCTGGCTTGCTTTGATCCTCTGGAAACAATAAGCCATTTGTTTCATTTTGCTTTGCTTTGCTTGTTTCTGGTTGAAGAATGAACCTTAAGTAGAGGGAGTTTATTGTGCCTCTGGATAGAAATGAGAAGTTGTGAGCCATCATTTTTTTGTATGTAAGACTTTGACGTTGGTACAAAGTACCCAGACCTGGCCATATTTGTAGTTCATCTGTGTGTGTAGTACATGGACCTTTGTAAGCACTTGTTAGGAGGAAAGCTGGGATTCAAGCAGAAATAGGAGACAGAGACATAAAATAAGACACATCACTGAGAGTTCCAAATTTCTTTTCCCACTTAAATGACCATATTTCCTGAGTATATATTGACTTTGCTTTCTGAAAATATCTTCCTCCAAAACTTAGGTATGAATTGCGTATATTATAGATTATATAGTACTTCCATATCTGCTGGCTACATACGGTTTTCTATATTTCAGTTGTTAAAAAATGCACTAAACTTAAAATTTAATTCTTCAGTCACACTAACATTAAGCAGTCTCAAAAACACATGTGGTTATCACATTGACGTCACAGATAAAAGACTTTTCTGCGATTGCAAGTTTTCTTGAACAGCACTGTAATAGATTGTAGAATCATCAACACTTTAACAGACAAGAGAACAGAAACAAATTGATAAGAAAATTGAGGTAATGCCTTAGTGTCCCTTCAGTATAATCCAAGGTGCTTTATAAAATCTATGGTATGGTAGGGTGTAAATTGAAATTTGCCATCATGAAAACAAAGCACTAAACTTTGAGTTCTCAGACTGACCAGCAGAGTTGCCTATAATCTGGCCCTGCCCTTCCTATTCTCCGCTTTCTGCAGTTCTGCAATGTCTTCAAAAGCAAGGGCTTCTTTTTCTAGTCTCTGTACTGTCTGAGCTCAAAATAGATGCTCGGTAAATGGATATTCAACAAATAGTAACTAGTCTCCTTTGTTATCTTTTTAAACCTTACGAACCTTGCTTTTCTCATATATAAAACAGAGAAAATCTCACAGTAAAATTGCCTTTCCAAAAATTCTATAAATGTTCCCATTCACAAGCTTAGTAAAAAAATATATAGTTGGGGGACATTCCGTAATGCCCACTCAGGGGTGGGAAGCAATGAGGCAGACCAGAGAAAGACGAAGGGAGCAATTGTGCACAAGCTGAAATCTTTTAGCTTTGAAGGTAATTCAATGGAAAGGGTTGAATACGGATGCCTATCTGGAGAGGAGCTTCCAGCCTACAGGGATGAGCACTGCTTTGTTTTCACATAAGATCTGTTTCTTGATCTTGAGTTGTGTAAACAGAAATTCATCGTGATTGGTACTAGTTCAGCTTATTCTTACTTCATGCATTCCTTAGTAAGAAATAGGGAGAAAAGCTAACATAGACTCCCTGACACCAGGCCTTCATGGCACTGAAGGCATTTCCTCTCACTCTTCCTCTGAGAGTTCATCCTCCCTCCTTGTCCTCTCTTATTGGTTTTTCAGTATTCAGATACACTCAAGTCTCCTTATTTAAAATTAAAAAGCAAATAAGAAATGAAACCAACTTCCTTGCATGCCTTTCTCGACCCAAAGACAGACTTCAGTCCTCATCGTTCCATTGTAACTGTTCCTTGAAGGGAACAGTAGCCTCCTTTCCCCTAAATTCAGTACATAATTACAGGGTCTTTATAATTTTATACTTTCGGTCAATGTTTCACACTGCTCACCACCCTTGCTGCTTGAAGCACTTTCTAGTAGCTTCCATGGACAAAATACTTTCCTGGTTCCTTCCTACTACTTTGGCTGTAGCTTTTCAGTTTCATGGGTCTATTTCCTGTTGCTTAAATGCTAGTGTTTTTGATAGTTGGTTCCCTCTGAAGAATCTTTCTTCATTCCTTCAAAGTGACTATCTTCCAACCCTATCTCTGACCTGCCCTTTTTGAGTTCAGTAGGCAGCTCCATGGCTAGTAGCCTGGGTATGATCTTTAACTTGCTTTGCTTCTTCTCTCCCTCTTTCCTGTGTCTAATCACTGGTCAAATCCTGTCAATTCTGCCTTGTCTTCTCTTGGGAGTCAGTCTACTTTTCTGCATTCTGACTGCTCTGCTCTTGTTCAAATACCACTTCCTGTCTATAATCCCTCAGTGGACCCCTCACTGGTCTCTCACCATTCATTCTTGCATCCCCCTTCTTTGTCTGGTCTCCATCTATATTGATCTTCCTATAGCATAAATGAGATATTTCTGCTTTCATTCTCATTCACTTCAAAATCCACAACATGATCCCCCAAAGCCTGGCACGATGTACTTTTCATTCTGTTTTCGGCCTCATCTCTAATTGTCTTTTCTGGCTGTCTTTGACAGAACTGAAAATCTTGCCCACTTTGAGCCTGCAAAGGATGGTTATCTTTCTGGAGCACTTTTGTCCTTCCTCCCTCTTCTCTAGTTTGCTTTAAATTGCTCAGACATCACTTCTTCTAGAAAGTCTAAGTGAAGTGTCCCTCCCAGATATCCCCTGTTCTTGCCTTTTGTCTTAATTTTATAATGCCCAATTTGTTCATCTTTGTCGCTAGTAGAGCAGAAACTCCTTGAAGGAGAGACCATGTCTGCCTAGCCCTTGTCCTAGATTTAGTCTCTGATCATTAATATTTATGAGGAATATTAACTTTTCTTTTTTAAAAAGTATTTGTAAAGAAAGTTATTAGCAATTTACAAAATTTTTATCAACTTCTGTCTCTTAGTATCATAACAGAGTTGTTTCTAATTTAGTTTGGAAAAGGAGGATCAGTAGTGTCATTTTTATTACTTTTATATTGCAGTGTTTTTAAGGCTATATAATATTTTTTAAAAAACACAAGTTATGACTTGACCAAGATCCCTTAACCTTAGCATATTACCAAAGCCATTTTCTGAGTCAGTGTTAATATTCATGATTATTTCAATGCTCTTTTTTAAGTTTGTTTTTAATTGAATTTTTGTGTATTTCATGCAGAACATCTCAATTAATCTTAATCATCTTCATACCCCTGTCCCCATTGGCACCCTCCCATAGACCCACCACTGAAGCCCATATACTCTGTCATTCCTGTTAAGGCCCACTGTGTCAAGTCAGTGTCCCCAGACAGTCCCCAGTATAAGTCCATGTAGTCAGATTCTATGGCAATGGTGTCAGGCATACGCAAGTCCCATGCAAACTCAGGCAGACAAAAACCCAGCATAGAACTGAGAAAATGACCAGCAGATCCCAATCTTATTCGATGCTTTTTAAAAATGTTTCTGCAGTAATCACTTGCCCCAGTTTTTTTCAATATTTGCATTAGAGAGATTTAACGAAGTGATAACTATACTATTCAACAAATTGGGGCAGGGGAGAGTTGGACTAACACTATTAAAGTAAGGCCTCGTGCTCATTAGCCTTGTAGCCTTACAACTTGAACCTTATTAGAAATGAAAAGAACTGTGGCAGGTAGATTTCACCTAGTCAGTTCTAAAGCACGCACATTGTTTTTCCTCTAAGAGTAAAGTTTTAAACATTTCTTGTGTCAGCCAGTGATAGGAAATTTAAGAATAGTTGACTGTTAAATGGAAGTAGAACTGCAGTGCCTGCTGAGCCTATCTGCTTTCCTCTCCAATCACTTTTTTTTTTTTTTTTTTTGGTTTTTTTGAGATGGGGTTTCCCCATAGCCCCAGCTGTCCTGGAACTCACTGTGTAGACCAGGCTGGCCTTGAACTCACAGAGATCCTCCTGCCTCTGCCTCCCAAGTGCTGGGATTAAAGGCGTGCGCCACCATGCTGAGCTCCAAACACTATTTTTAAAACTATGGATTTGGTCTCTGAGAGCTCATTTTACCCATTTTATTCAGAATGCGAAAACAAATGAAGAACTTAAACATTTTAAATAATCTTTATATTTAAAATTAATATCAGTTATTTTAGGATTACGAACTTATTTGGGCTACTGCTTTTAGGGTCATACAATTCTTGTTTGCCTTTATTGTGAGAAATGAAGGTCATCTCTAACAAAGACACTATCTTACTTTGACAGCTCTGGAGCCTCCCAGCTCAATTGCCTGGGATTTATACAAGATAAAATTACAGTATGTGCAACAAACGACTCATATCAGATGACACGAGAAAGAATGACCCAGGCAGAAGAGGAATCCCGCAATCGAAGCACAAAAGTTATCAAACCCGGTGGACCATATGTAGGTTTGTATAAACATATTTCTTCTTCGCACTGATTGGTTGGACTATTTCATGATGACTGTAGGTAAACAGTGGTAATACTAATAATGAAAATGCAAAAATTAATTTTCAGAACTTTTTTTATATAACATGGTTGATTAAAAAGTCATTTTGCCAGTCATGGTGGTGCACACCTTTAGTCCCAGCACTTGAGAATCAGAGGCATGCAGATCTCTGTGAGTTCAAGGCTAGCCTGGTCTACATAGTGAGTTTCAGATTAGCCAGGGCTTCACAGTGAAACCATGCCTCAAAAAGAAAAAAAAAGTCATTTGTTCCCTTCAGGCCACTAATGAATTGAGGAATGGATATTAAAGCTTTATGACTATCTTGCAATACTGGGATCTAGTCATGATCCTATGTGAGATTGAAACAGTGGTCCATTGTGTTCTCTTTGTCATTGGATGATGTTAGTTCAGTAATGGACAGTGGTTCTTGTCTTGCACTTTTATAGAGCTATTTTTACATTAAAATCTGTTAGATATTCTTATGAGTTAATTTCATTGTTACAGATTTTTGCTTATATTTTTAGGGGATTGTTATACAATAATGAAATTTTATTATAAAAGTATAAAATGTGCTTATGGCAGAGCATAACAGCAAAGCAGTAGGATGATGATTCTGGTTACAATTATGATCCTCATCCTCATCTAGCCATTAATTAAGACCTTCCCCATCGCATCATCTTTATCATCAGCTCATTCAAATATGCATCGGACGGAGAGGAAGTAAGACCAGACCAGCAAGATGAGTATCTGCTTTATGAGCAGTGTCCTAAACTACTTTAACAAGTCAATTCATAGTGATTAGTAAGATTAGAATGATAAAGAGTTCAGATGAACTGTTCAAGTCCCTGATCAGTTTCATAACTCGTTACCATAGGAAATGAAAGCCTGTTAATTTGAAAATGTTAATATTTCTAAAATCAGTCTCTTACAGAACCAAATCCCTTAACATCTTTCCAGGTTTGATAAAATTCAACTTTGTGTTTTCCCATTGCTGATCCAGCTACATTGCATTCAGCTTTGAGAGGCTCCACTAGTATCTTTAATAAGTGTTTCTTTGGAACAAAACTAATGCTACTGGGATTTAGTACTTAGCTTAGATACATTTAGTTTGGTTTAACAACAATTCATGGCTTCCCCAGGTATCTATACCCACAGGACCCAGTTCCCTACCTAGTAAGTTACCAACAATGAGATTTTTCCTCCTTCACTTTCCTGCTGGGTGAGGTAACAATTCCCAGCCTTCTTTCTCTTTTCTCCTTATAAGTAACTTAATTAGCTATCTGTGCTAATAGGCTAAATCACAAAAAAATAACAAATAATTTTTTAATTCCACAAGATCTTCCACACTTAACATTTTAAGCATAAAGTATGAATTATCTGTCACTATTTGAAAGTATTGTTTAAATCTGTCTAATACCATCATTTTATGAACAGTGAAGCAAATTGGTGTGTTTGACAAAGGAACAGAAGATTCACATAATCAAAATTAGGATTTATTTTTTCTTCCTAGTATAACTAGTTAAAAATTCTTATTTGATTTCTTCTAAAACTTCAAAATCATCTGTGACTACTGAGCTCTTCCATGAGTAACATAGCATGTTTTGTTTGTTTTGATGGGGTCAGGGTCAGTTATAATCAGTTATAGTTTATACAACTGACTTGTAGAGTGAGTTTGTTTGTCTGTTTGGTTGGGTTTATTTTGGAGACAGAGTCTCACTCTGTAGTCCAGTCCAGCCTTAGCCTTACTATGTAGCCCTGGCTGGCTTCAAATTTGCAAACTTCCTGCCTCAGCCTCATGAATACTAAAATTACAGGCATGAGTCACCACACGCAGTTTGGTGGAATCCCACAGATCATGTACTTCCTAATGGCACCAAGAATTTTAGGACTTCCAGGTTCTTACAGGGATTATAATTTATATCCATCTTGGGGGTGGCCACAGGAATCAGAAATTATTAATATTTAGATCTGAACAAATATCCATCTCCCTGGTCTCAGAAGACTGTCCTCCCCTCAGAGTCATGCAATGATCTCTGCTCCCTAAGTGTCTTCCTTAACCTTTTCTTCCAGGCTTTTCCTTAGAGCCCTGGCCTCTGACTGTCACAGTACAGTGCTCTTCTCTGATCTTAAATCTTATCTTTAACCTCCTCAGCCATTTTCTCTAAGTCACATAACCCCAGCTCCTTTTAACTTTTCTTAATAAGGCCTGCATTCCAACCCTTTAATTATTTGTATTGCATCTCTGTACTGGCTCTAGTTCCTCTCCTCAGAGTTTAAAATTGAACAGTATGGTTAGTTAAACCTCACCAACTCTAAAGACCCTAGGGTCCCAAATTGGATTTTCTGTAGTTTACTTTGAGTTCTACCTCAATTCTGGAATTTGTTTACTGTACTTTGATAAGTCCCATTTAATCTTTTCCTTTTTAACTTTGCCCATTGTTTGTCCTGTACTACATGGTTCTTTCCTGCTAGGCAGCTCAATTTGTGTCTTCCTGCTTTTCTTCAATACCTCAGAAAAACTACCTGGTTTATTCAGTTCTTTAAAATGTCAGCAAATCAGCTGGGTGTGGTAATGCACACCTTTAATCCCAGCACTCATAAGGCAGAGGCAGGTGGCTTTATGAGCTCTAGTCTAGCCTGGCCTACATAGCAAGTTCCAGATTAGCCAGGGCTACATAGTGAGACATTGTCTCAAAAAAGGAAAAAAAGATCAGTGAGTCAACCTGTAACATTAATAATACCCAATGCATATTGAATGTTCACTGTATACAAGATATCAGTTAGTACTTTGTATGTAATTTCTCAACTGAATCTCATGATTACTTTATGAAGCAGATTATGACTATCCTTTTTACATATCAAGTTGTTGGGCTCAGCAAATAGAAAATGATATAGGCATGTCCTCATGAACAAGTTGTATTCTCTTGAACAACAGGAATTACCCATTTAGCTCATAATTGACAATACCATATGTAAAATAATACCAAAAGCTCACCTGTGCCAGCCTAGGTACCTGCAGAACAAGGTTTCTTTCAGCAGTGTCAGCCTGGGTGGAGGCAAGTGAGAATAAATCTGGTCCCACTATGGTAAAGTATGGCATTATGCCAGGCCAGGCCTCTGCCAGCTGAAGTAGGCCGCAAGCCAAACTTAAGGGGTAAAGTCTGTACTGCCAGAAGTTTAGGGGTCACCTGGCCTAGTTTCCTGGAATATGAGCTTCTGAAACCCTCTTGTGGGAAGAAGAAAAAAAGTAAATCCTGTTTTTCTAGAGAGAAGCCAGAGAGCCTTTTGCTCAGAAAATGTTACCATTCTTTAGTAGCGTTTCCACTTCTGGTCTTGTGGTAAACATGACCAACCATATTGTTAGAATGACTCCCGTTTTGCATAAGAAAAAAATCACTAAGTCTTACCACTTTGTTTCCTAATATGGTAAATCTGCCTGTTTATTGACTCCTACCTCAATTCTGGAATTTGTTGAATTGCAAAATTTTATATGTACTGATATTTATTCAGCCATATAAAATAACCCAACAGGCCTAATATGAATCTCTTCCCAATTTTCATACTTCTCTCCCACTTTTCTTATTTTGGATGAGTTAGCCTATATTTGAGTGATAGAACCAATCACTCACTGTCTTACTTTGTCAGATAGTAAAGCAGAAGTATCTGAACTAGAGGACAGTCAAGTTCTTTTGTAGTTCTGATATTTTTGTGTCCCCTGAATATGTATATATTTTTAGTAGTAAACATTTGAAAAAGTGACCACAGATGCCAAATGGTGGAGATGGAGTCCATTGCATATATTATGTATTTAACCATGACAGACTCCAAGCCAGCCTTGCAGCCCTGATAATGTTTTCTAAAGCCTTAGGTCTCTGTTGCCAAGACTTTGGTCAGTTTCTATCAAATGGATAAACAACTACGGACATAGTAGTCCCTAATCTCTTTCTGATGGCCTGCTTTAACATCTTCCTTTCACATTGTTGACTCAGAACCACTGTACTGAGGGATAAATACTTTTATCACCTCCTATTAAATAGAGGAACTACAAGTGGACTCCTTGTAATGAAACAATGATTCGGATATAGTCTCAGATTAGCCACCCCTGTTGGTACCACTGCTGCTGTATATAAAAGAGCCCAGGGAATTGATTAGCAGTTCAGTCTGGGAAGAGAATTAGGTTTTCCCACAGGCTTTATTAAAAAGGGCTTTTCTGAGGCAAATGTTAAAAATAAAAATAAAGATTCTGCCTACTTTGAATCTGGCATCTTCCTTCTTTTCTTTTTCTTTAGCATCACAGTTCTATTAATATTTATATCAACAATGTTTTCTTCATCTATAGACCAGTGTTTCCTTTATCTTGGGGGTCTCCTTCTTAGTTGAATAGGCACAAAAGATTTGAGAAGACAACAAGCAAGTGATATTTGAATATAATTCAGTGGCCTGATGTTATTGGATTGTTCTTTCAAGCATTTGAAGGAAATGGTTATGCCATGACTGGCTGTCTAGAAGGAAAATGAAGTCAGCATATTAGGAGTGGGGAATCAGAAGAGGTGGAGGCCTACAGTGGGCCTCAGTTAAGACTCTGCCCTCTCCCTCAACCAGACTCTTATTTCTTATTAGGCATCATAGTTACATCTTCAAATAGGCAAAGTTTGCCTCCTTTATTTTTTTTCTCTAATGCTTGCTTCTGGGAGGATGAGGTAAATGAGGAACCTCTGGGAGCCCTCTGAGACCAAGGATCTGAGGTGGGTCAGTGGTACAAAGGGAGACAGCAGCCTGGAACACAGTGGAAAAACTGTCACTTCCCACCAGCTTGAAAACATTCTAAATGACAGACAATTGGCTTGGAAGAGTTAAGCAGGTTCCTTTTCTGCAGGAATTTGCAAGGGGGAGGAAAGGTAGAATGTATAACATTTCCTAAATTTCCATGGCACTGACCCTGTCTTTTTCCCTTAAATTCCTACTCAATGCTCAAGGAATAGTAATGACAACAATGTCACAACTGAAAAGTGATAGACTAGAAGATATGCCTTTACATTTTCACTTTGAGAGGTTTCAGTGTATCCTCAGACTAGCAATCTGGCAATGTGGGAAAGTACAGGTTGTGTTGATTGCTGCTCCTCTGCTTGCTGGCTGCTGTCATTCAGGTAGTCATTAGTACTGACTCATATTCTGCTGGTGGAAAGCAGCCATGGTCCTGCCCTCACAGAGCTTACAGCTCAACATGAAACAACAGGAAAGCGTTAGGCATTTGTTCATAAAACCTTTCCCACGAAGAGGTACAAGTGAGTAGTTTTGGGAGTAATCGCAGATCCTCCCACACACTGAGCACTTTATTATTTTGAGTGTCTCCCACTGAAACTGCAGAATAGAGATAAGGTTCACCTTTTCAGATAGCTGGAGACTTATTCCTTTCCCATCTGACATTGATCCAACTGTTCCTAATTATAAAATATACAGAAACCAGATCTAAGTCTATCTCTACAACTCTCACAACTTAATTTAATAGCTTTTCTTATCACTAGGCAGTATCCCCTTAGTGTTGAGATCCTTTGCTATGTGGTAGTTTCATTTGATATTTGTTATCACTTATGTTCCAGTCATAAAGAAGCACCCCAGCTGACAGAAGTTTCCTGTGAGCACTCATCCTTTTCCCCTTTCTTGAGGTAGGATGATACCCACATAGATATGCCCTCTGGCAAACCAGGCCTGACAAGCTCAACCTGGGCAGAAATGCAGTTCAGCACAGTTCCTGCCCTGTAAGCTGATTCACCCCAGACCATGGAGATTGCTTTTACTTATCCATTGCTCTATTTTCTAGTCTTCTCCTAATGCAGTAGCCACACATAGTATGTCATCACCCGTTCTCCCATCTCTTTAACCATAGCAATGTAAAAATTTCTACCTTAAAATCATATAAAGAGAATCTTGTGTATTTTATGCTATTTTCTGTTCTTTTACTAAGTAATAGTTACTTGTGGCTCAGTGAAAGGGCTTCTCTGGATCAATTTGCACATAGAAAGTGCCCAGGTCTCTTCAGTCCCATGCGCTTTCTAGAAGTAGCAACAATCTCAGTATTCAGTCCAAGTAGAAAGTACTTCTTACACAAACAGCAGTGGCCCCTGTAGGAGTTGTGTAAAGGTCTCCTTATAATATTTCCCATGTCTCTGACCTATCTGCATACTTTATACTGCAGGAGACACATCTGTTTACTGGTCTTCCAAGAGTATATGAGTGAGTGGGTGGGTGGGTAGTTGGTTGGTTGGTTTTATTGGATTGCTTAATTTTTTACTCCTAAAGTTTGTTACTGCCTAGCAAGAAGAAATAACACTAGTGGTTGCTTAGTAAATGTTGACTCCACTCCTTGTAGCTTCTGCATAGCACTTTTCTAGCCCTGCCCTAAGTTAGTCAGGAAGACTCTTATTGAGGTCTGACAAGTATTCCTCCATGTTCCTTCTATTCACATCTGCTTTTCATGCAGATGTAAGCACTGTAAGTAACACAAGAGACCATAGAAATTATTTCTATATGCCATTAAATAGTCTACAGTCTAAAAATGTCTATTGTTATAAATTTGTAACTGATTATTTTTCATGTGTATAGCTAAATGACAAAAATACATATATAGTACGTTTGTTTCAAGAAAAGAAAAAATTCCATCAAAAAATTCTTACTCCTTACTTTTAGCATTTTAATTAGAATACTTCCTGTTTGCATGTTTCTTTATAGTAAAACTTGAAATCAAATGACCTTTATTTCTTTCAGAAATAAAAAGTTACCTAAATTAGATTATGGAAGCTGAAGTGTTCATTATAATGTGGCCCACAAACTTGTAACACTGTCTTTTTCACTGGACTTTAGGGAAAAGAGTGCAAATTCGGAAAGCACCTCAAGCCATCTTAGATGCAGTGCCTGAAAGGAAAAGGTCAACCCCCATGAACCCTGCAAACACAATTCGAAAGACACACAGCAGCAGCAGTGTTTCTCAGAGGCCATATAGGGACAGGGTCATTCACTTACTGGCGCTAAAGGCCTACAAGAAACCTGAGCTGCTTGCTCGACTGCAGAAAGATGGTGTCAATCAAAAAGACAAGAACTCCTTGGGAGCAATTCTGCAACAGGTGAGGACACCTAGAGAGAGATATTTCTATGTGCTTTGATGGAGTTCATTGATGAATACTTGTTGATGGGCTGCAGATATAGCTCATGGGTACAGTGCTTGCCTATCATGCACAGTCCTGAGTTTGATCCCTAATAGCTCATGAACAGGACATGATGCCATACCCTATAATTCCAGCACTCAGGATGTGGCACCAGGAGGATCATCAAAAGTTCAAGGTCATCCTTAGCTACATAGTGAGTTCTAGGCCAGCCTGGTCTATGGGAGATTCTGTCTCAAAAACAAAACAACAAAAACCCAGCTTGTTCTTATTGCTAAAATTATCACTGTTTTTGAGATCAGGAAATTTTAGTCATTTTGATCAATCATGTATGAAATATCACTCTTTTTAAAATATTTTTATTTACTATTTTTATTTTATGTGTATGAGTGTTTTGCCTGCAAGTATGTAAGTACTCCTGTGTCATGTAGTGCCTGAGAAGGCCAGAAGAGAGCGTGTCAGATCCCCCTGAAACTGGAGTTACAGACAGTTGTTAGCCACCATGTAGGTGCTAGAAATTGAACTCAGGTCCTCTACAAGTGTTCTTAACCACTGAGTCATCTCTCCAGCTCCCTGAAATATCACTCTTGAGTATTAGGTTAAAACATCTTTTTTTAAAGACAGGATCTTGCTAAGCTGCCAAGCTTACCAGGCCAGCATCAAATTTTTGGTGATCCTCTTGCTTCAGCCTCCTGGCAACATCATGCCTAGCATAAAACATCTTTTTTTTAAAAAACAGTTTAATTAAAACTGGTTAAAATGTGGGCTTTATTATTTTGCTAAAACAAATTTTGCTTTAAAGTTTCATTAGGAAGTGGAGAAGAAGCCAGGCGTGTTAGTGCATGCCTTTAATCCCAGCACTTGGGAGGCAGAGGCAGGTGATCTCTGTGAGTTCAAGGCCAACCAGCCTGGTCTATATAATGAGTTCCAGGCCAGCCATGGCTATAGGGAGATTCTGTCTCAAAAAGACCAAAAAAAAGAAGAGAAGAATATTTTGTTGTTTGCTTTTAGTCTCAAGTCACCTAAACTATCATCTTAATTTTCATTGGCTTATAGAGGTAAAGTTGTGTAATGTGTTCTGTTAGTCTTTGGTTGGTATAAACCATATTATTCTTGCCTGGTAAATATATATATAATTTATCGTGGCTTCCGTAGTCCTTGAAACCCTTATTATTTTGTCTTTTTTTAGCCTTTGGATGTGCCATCATCAGTCACTTCTCTGCATTAAAGGATATGAATGTGAAAAGTATTAGCTGCACCAGTTACCTTATAATCATAGCCTTCAGTTTGAAATAGGCCATTTTTTATGTTAAAGAAATGTCAGATTGTAACTGCCTGTATTTTTTATACTTACTACAAGTCATAAATGTTGATTAGCATTCATAACTACCATAAATAGTAATCAATCTAAGTCTATTTTTCTAAAGCAATGACATTTATAAAGTTTTCTTAAATTTCATCATTTAAAAAGCTACATGTGTTATCTGTTACTAAAACCCCATTTTCATTAATTATTATCATACATTCAAGACATAATACTAAGTGTTATGAAAGAGTAAAAACATCATCTGCAGTTCAGAATTAGCCAATCCCTAGACACATTAGTCCGTTTCAATGATCTTTATAAAATCTCTTGAATACCTTTAGAAAATAATTTAAGTCTATATGTTACATAGTAGTTTTTAAAACTGAAGAGAAAGGATAAAAGGGAAAAAATAAATATGAGGGTGAGTGGGTGTGTGTTCGTTCTGATACTGAGAGAGTCAGATCTCATGTCACAAAACCTGGTAAGTGCATCTAGGCTGTGAATTGCCATCTGGGTTAGAGGATAAGTAAGGAAAATGACTGAGAGTAGCTTCATAGAAGCTACTACTATACATGGCAGCTATGTGATGATGTGTGTGTATAAACACATCTAAAAATGGATATATTTGACCCCTAATGGACATGAGAGTTATTGATTTGGTTGTTTCTTAGAGTCATTGACTTTAGCCTCATCCTGGCTATATTTGAATATACCAGGGAGCTTTTTAAGAAGTATGCCAGATTCCACCCCACACCAACCAAATCCACCTACTTGAAGGTAGGACCCAGGTACTGATTTTGTATAAAGCCAATGAGTAATTCAAATGTGTAATACAGGCTAAAATCACTAGCCTGGTGAAAACAGATACAGAAGCTGATAACAACCACCACTTTAGAGGTATGTGCTGTATACCAGGCACAGTGTAGCTAGGCATTTCAAGGATGATATCATTAATTTCTCACAAGGAAGAAAATAGAGACATATTGAGAACTTTGACTTAAATTAGTTACCAGGGATAGAGAGATGACTCAGCAATTGTGAGGACTGGCTGCTCTTACAGAAGACCCAGGTTTGAATCCCAGCACCCACATGGTGACTAATAACCATTTGTAACTCCAGTTCCAGGGAATCCAGTGCCGCTGTCTGTCCTCTGCAGGCACTGCACAATGGGTGCACTTACATACATGCAGGCATAACACTCATACACATAAAAATAAATAACTCAAAACAAATTTTAACCAATCACTGCTACATTTCTTGTCCTGAAGATTCCTAACAGCTCATATGACTTTTTCTCCAATGAAACTGACTAAAAGTGGCATAAAAAGAGGGGTAGAGTAGCAAAATATACAAATTATTTTAAAAACTGGTTATTTCAGCCTCAACTGGTTAGCAAACAGGATAGCCTAAATGATGGGACCTGTTTTGCCTGTGCCAATGGATATATTTGCTGATTTGTTATTATATAGCAGTTTTCAGCAAGAACCCTATGAATGTTATTAATTAAATTTTAAAATGCTAATGTCTACTAGGCAATTTTGTTTAAAACTGTTACTAAGTTGGTATACATTTATATAGCTACCTTTTTCTTTAGAATGACTTTTCCTGAAAAAAAAAAAAAAAGAAGAAGATGCATTTCAGAAATCACAGCAGCAACTAGATAGACCTGGATAACACTCTTTTTAAGGTTAACATTTGGAAGTTTGGTTCAAGCTCAACGTTGATTTATTCACTCTGTTCATTAAGTATAGCCAGCTTCCTGAATCTACAGATTCTATATCTATGATTCAACTAATTGCAGATCAGAAAAATATTTAATTGTATCTGTGTTAAACATACACAGATATTTATTCCCTAAACAATAAAGTGTGGCAACTATTTATATAACATTTATATTTTATTGGCTATCATAAGTAACAGAATTTTTTAATGCCTGGAAGATACTTTAAATCTATATAATTTTATATGGCTGGCTAGGGGGTCCTAGAGTCAATCCCCTGTGGACACTAATGGATGACCTAAACCATACCAGATAGCACTCTATGCTGGAATCCTAAGGTTACCCCACCAGATAATCCCTGGTCTCCTGAAATATATCCACAACTCAGGTGGAATGGGAAGTTGAGAGGGGTTAAGAAAGAGATCTACTCACAGGGGGAGGTGGGGGAACCCCCTTTCTTAGATGGCTACCTCTTGGCTGAAATGAAATGTAAAAGATAAGACGAGTTGACATTTCTAGAAGCCTGATAGAAGAGAAGGTACAAGGTAGAAGAAGTGGATACTAAACCCTCGAGGGTATTGCGGATCAGGAATAAGGAGTTTAAATTTTATTTTGTGTGAGATGGGAAGTCATCATAGAATTTAAACAAGAATATACTGTAACTTGATTGATATTTTCAATAAGACCATTTTTTTGCAAGAATGGCTGGGGCAGGGGTTGGAACAAGAACAGAACGTACATGAGTCTACTATAGAAATCTAGGTATGACACGTTAGTGGCTTGGCACAGTGGGAGCAATGAAGTTGTTTTAACAGATGAGAGCTATATTTTGTGACAAGACTTGCTAATGGAGAGGGTGAAGGAAAGAATAGAGTCTGTGGTCCTGGCTAGGTTTTGGCCTAAGCAATTTAATGGATATTGAGCCACTGGTTGGAATGAGGGCAGAAAAGGGACAGGAGTAACAGCCATAGGGAGTGGTGGTAAGGAATTGTCTTAGATTCTCTTTGGAAAATGTCCATTAGACATTCCAAATGTGGGGTAGATAGCTGGAAAAATGGTGTAGCTATTAAAGGCTCAGACTAACAACCAAAAAGACAAATAGGGGTAGATGTCAGTAGTTAATTGCATATAAGGTATTCAGAGTACAATTGATACTGGAGCTATAAATTTAGGAATTAGCAGTATATATGCAGATTATACATTGTAAGTCTTAGAATTAAATGAAATCATCTTAGAAGGAGATTGGAGGATGAAGAAATAGGGCAGAAGGCCGTTACTGAGCATGTCCTCTTACAGAGGAGTGAACAAGTAAGGCTTAGGAAAGAAAGGGAGAGCTACCAGGAAGAAAACTGTCCACAGAAACCTAGAGAAGGATTGTGGTAGGAGTACAGTGCTAGTTTGTATAGTGCCAAGGGTAACAGAAAATCAAAGAGTTGTTCTGTGTGTTATACTTAAAAAAAACTAGTTATATCCTATATTCACTTATTTGCAGGTTTTAAGATAAGTTTACTATTGTCTATAACAACATGAATATTAAATTAGTATTCAACTGAGATAGACTATTATATCTGATGGTAATTTTAAAAGACACAATAAGAAGTCAAGTTACTGAAAAGACCATTCCCAAAGTTATGGGCAGAAATACCTTTTGCCTAACCTTAAAAAGAACTTTCAATGTGTAGGAGGGGGTCTTGTTGAGAAGGGTTCCAGCAGGAGAGAAGTGGGATGAGAAAGAGGAATGAGGGGTTGGCTAAATGATTAAAATTCTTTAAGAAATTGTATGAAGCTGTCAGTAAAATAAATTTAAGTACTTTTGATTTGGCATGAACTAATAGATTTGTGTAGTAAATGGATTACAGGCCTGAACATTCTAGGAATTATAGTTAGGGGATAAGAAAAGATTATATTTGAGAATAAACCCTCTGGCTAATAATTGTCTGGGGTTCCTTTATTGTGATTCAATTTATTGGTTTGAGGGTATTTCAAGAACTTTTAATAAGTGGTTTTTCAGGAAAGCTAGCAGATACAAGAAACAAACTTGGTTATCAGAAAAAGGAAAAGGAAAAGTTATCATAATTGATACTGTTTATTAAGACAATTTCTGCTCCTGGCTGAAAGTTTATAACTCTTCATTAGGATACTGTTTGTTATTTGCTTAAATAGAAGTGAGTAAGGATTTTTATTGTGACTCAAAATTATGGGAAATGGGCTGGGAAGATGGCTCAGTGGGTAAATGTGCTTTCTTTGCAAGCTTTGTCATCTGAGTTTGATCCTCAAAACCCATATAAAAGGGAAGGAGAGAACCAACTCCACAGAATTTTCTCTGACTTCATATTGTCATGGCATATGTACTATACCTCTCTCTCTCTCTCTCTCTCTCTCTCTCTCTCTCTCTCTCTTTCTCTCTCTCTCTCTCTCTCTCTCTCTCTCTCTCTCTCTCTCTTGTTCTCTCCCTCTCTCTGTCTCTCTCTCTCTCACACACAAACACACACAATTTTTTTAAAGAACTAGAAATGATAAGCAAACACTAATGCTAATAATTGTTTTGTATTCCTTTGACTAGAAAATATGGATTTGAAAAAAAAAAAATCTTCCATTTTTTTCCCAAGGTGGGGTTATTTGAATAGAAATCTGACAAATGCAGTAACTATGGGAAGGGAACCTTTAGCTCTGCATGCAAAAATTTAATTGTGTATAGTTTTTGTTTGTTCTTTGTTTTTGAGACAGGGTTTCCCTGTAGCCCTAACTGGCCTGGAACTCTCTATATAGACCAGATTGGTCTTAATCTCACAGAAATCCACCTGCCTCTGCCTCCCAAGTGCTGGGATTAAAAGCATGTGCCACCGCCATCAGCCCTATATATTTAACTTTCTCACATGAAACTGAATGGCATTTACAGAGATCTGACCTACAAAACTCTCAGTCCCTTTAGACTAGTGATTTTCAGTGTAAATCCTAAAGATTGCCTGTCTTATTTATTCTATTTATTTTTTGTTGGGTTACAAAATTACATACATACAAACATAAAAAATTAGGATATGAGCAAGAGTCTTTCTGAGACTGGGTCACTTAATATAATACTTTCCAGTTCCATCCCTTTTCCTGAAATTTTCATAATTTTATTCTTAGCTGAGTAAAACTCCATTGTGCATATATGCCACATTTTTATTATCCAGTCTTCTGTTGATGGACAGCTGGGTGAATTCCATTTCCTTTCTGTTGTGAATGAGACAGCAATAAGCATGAATGTACAAGTATCTCTGTGGTAGGATATGGAGTCCTTTGAGTATATTCCCAGGAGTGGTATAACTGTGTCATAAAACAGATTACCTGCTGTCTTAGTTTGTTCTTCATTGCTGTGACAAAACACTCTGACCAGTACCAACTTGGAGAGGAAAGGGTTTATTTGTCTTACATCTTCCAGGTCGCACGCAGCTCATCAGGGAGCCCAAGGTAGGAACTCAGGGCAGGGATTTGAAGGCAGGAGCTGGAGCACAGACGCTTACAGGCTTGCTCCCTTGGCTCCTGCTCAGCCTGCTTTCTTATGCAACACAGGCCCACCTGCCCAGGGGTGGCACCACCCACAGTGGGCTGGGCCCTCCCACATCACTCATCAAGAAGATGCCCCTCAGACATGGCCACAGGCCAGCCCAATAGAGGAAATTCCCCGATTGAGGCTCCCTCAACCCAGGTGTGTCAAGTTGACACTAAAGCTATCTAGCACACCTGCTTTGTAGATATCCAACAAAAATATCTCATGATCTGTTCTTATACCTTCTACCAGGTGGCCAATCTGAATCCTAAGGACCTCTCCTATACTTTAAAGGATTATGTATTTAAGGAGGTTCAACGTGACTGGCCAGGATACAATGAAACAGATAGAAGGTCACTGGAGTCGGTGCTCTCTAGGTAAGTTTCCTTTTTCTTTTTTTTTTTTTTTAAGTGGTGCAAACAGGGGGCCTAGAGAGGACTCAGTGGTTAAAAACACTCATTGTTCTTGGAGAGGACCTGTGTTACATTCTCAGCACCCACATGGCAGCTAACTACCATCTGTAACTGCAGTTCCACTAGGGGATCTGACACTCCTTCTGGCCTCCACAGGCATTACATAAATGATGCACATATATATGTACAGCCTAACATTGATACACATAAAAATAAATAAAATTAAATGATACAAATAAGTAATTACTTTCATCAGTGTTATTTTAGTGTTGCGGTGGGAAAGAGCAGCAAGGATAGTTTTCTGTCATGAGCATTCTAAAGTTCTCTTCATTACCTGGAGTATGTGTCCTTCACAGAAAACTAAATCCATCTCAGAACACTGCTGGCACTAGCTGTTCAGAATCCCCCATGTGCTCCAGCAGAGATGCTACATCTTCTCCTCAGGTATGTCATAAAGTTACAAAATCATAGGTTCGCTGGGACCTCAGGGCAGTTAGTCAGGCCCTCTGCTTTATACATGAGGGAAAAGAGGCTGAGGGAAACTGTACACCTTGTCTGGCCAAAGCCCACAGTTAATTCATGGCCAACCAGAGCCTAATTTAGGTTTTGACTCCCAGTCTAGAAATCTTTATACTATACTGCACTGCTTGTTAGAGTATTTAATGCATGCCTTGCTTGCCATTTTTACATTTTAGATTTATTATCAGATTCTCTGCTTTTCAGTTTGGTCACTAACTGGAAGGTACATCCAATTCCATACAATCCTTGAGCTATATGGAAAATTGAAAATATTTAATTTTGTCTGAAGCCTGTCTAGAAGAATATTCTTGAAAAATGTTTGCAATGAGCAAATTAAAAAGTGATAGCATTTCTGTGTGCATTACCTTAAAGCTTTTTTCAGCTTGACCCTCATCAGAAGACTCTAGTCCAGTTTAGAGTTCTCCATGAGAGAATTTCAGTGTCATGGGTGCTTTGGACAGATGTTGGGAGAGGCCACCCACCCACTCCAGGACTGATCACACAGTATCCCCTCTCTCTGCCCTATTCCTAAGACCCGAAGAAAAGCAGACAGATGTGTGAGGAACACTAAGCAAAATGTTGGTCCATGTCAAAGTGTTAGAAGCCTGCTGTAAGGAAAGCAGTGGGATGAAAATGAATGAGCAGTTGTATCTTTGCGTATCCATCATCTGTGGAAACCTGTCTTTTAATGCTATCTACTATGAAGTTTCTTCCACTCTGACTGAATTACATACTGAGTACAAAATTGAAAACAGACTAAATTAATGAGTTGATTAACTATTATTTTCTTTTAAGCCAAAATACAAAATATTTAGTTGTGACTTACATGTTTTCTACTTTCAACGGTTGAATTTCCTTGATAACTTATATATAATTATTTTTTATTACTGGATTGAACTAACATAACATGATTTTTAAAATACTTCCATATCAAATGAACCACTTACAAAGGTCTAGCTTACAGTATTGTGAATAGATATGTACAGGGGAAAAAAATTATATGACATTTCAACAATGATAGCAATACTTAGAGAAATTACTCTAAAAGTACTGGCTAGTTCACTGTGTGACAGGTAAACTGATCAATGACAGCCAAAATATTCATAACTGGAGCATTTTAGCCCATTCGCATGTGGGCATATTGCCATTTACCAGCACTTATTAGTGCTCACAGAATCAAATGGTACAACTTGCTTTCTCTTCTCACTTACTAGAACTAGGCCAGACTTGGCCAGCAGTGGCGGGCAGCTGCTTCTATTTAATACTCTTCTGAGCAGTCGAATCTGGAGGAATCAGCATAGTCTCTAGGAACTTAGGGTGCAGTTCAAGATCAGAAAGAATAGACTTGACACTACAAGAATGTGAATGTTCCAGGTTCTGCTTTTGATATAAGAATTAAAATTTATTTCACTTTTGGTTTGGGGTTGTTCTAGGTGTTCTTTGGTTTTGTTTTGTTGGTTTTGTTTCTGCTTAAGCTTGAAAGAAATTTAGTATGATGAATAAGCTTGCTCAGCTGTTTAACCAATGATGTGTGTATTGAATTTATTCCATTTTCATGCAATCATTTTTATTTCCTTCCCCTCCCCTTCAGAAACGACCTTTGGACTCAGATTTCATTGATCCCTTAATGAATAAAAAGGCTCGAATCTCTCACCTGACAAATAGAGTACCACCAACATTAAATGGTCATTTGAATCCCACCAGTGAAAAATCTGCTGCAGGCCTCCTGCCACCCCCTGCAGCTGCTGCCACCCTTACCCCCTCACCGCTGCCTTCAACCCACCTGCCTGTCTCAAATCCTCCTCAGACTGTAAATTCCAACTCCAATTCCCCTAGCACTCCAGAAGGCCGGGGGACTCAAGACCTACCTGTTGACAGTTTTAGTCAAAATGGTAGCATCTTTGAGGACCAGCAAGACAAATATACCTCTAGGACTTCTTTGGAAACATTACCCCCTGGGTCAGTTCTAATAAAGTGTCCAAAACCTATGGAAGAAAACCATTCAGTGTCTCACAAAAAGCCCAAAAAGAAGTCTAAAAAACACAAGGAAAAGGACCAAATAAAAAAGCATGACATTGAGACTATTGAGGAAAAGGAGGAAGACCTTCAAAGAGAAGAAATTGCCAAGCTGAATAACTCCAGTCCAAATTCCAATGAAGGTATTTTACATTTATTAAAAATAATAATATAAAGCCAGGCATAGTGGTACATGCCTTTAGTCCCAGCCCCCAGGAGGTAGAGGCAGGTGGATCTCTGTGAATTCAAGGCCAGCTTGGTCTACATAGCTAGCTCCGGGATAGCTGGGGCAACAGGGAGACCCTGCCTAAAATAGACCAATAATAATAATAATAATATGAAAAAAAGTGTGTTAAATGAACTTGAAGAGCATCTTAATACTGAGCAGTTTTTTCTTTTATCTTACAACTGTCATTTCAGTCTCTCTTTAGCCAAGTATTAAGCATGATTTCTATATTTATGCATATCTATAATGACACATGAAATGACCTTATCGTTCTCCAGAGACTCCCTTTTAGAAGGTGGACTTCCATGCTCTCTTCCTTATCTGTTATGTTATTGTTCAGCCTCAGCGTGACTGGTATGTGCCATTCCTGAGCTCATGTAACCAGATATACAATTAGCAGCAGAAATATTCATTTCCTTCTTTCTCAAAAGCCAGAGACACCCCTGCTTTAATTATTATAAGCATGGGGAAAATGTCAAATTCTTTATAAAGCAGTCAAGGTAAATTCCATTTCCTGATCTGTGAGATCATCTTCATTTGCAGTGAAAGCAATTTGTGTTTCACAAGGCCATTGCCTATTATTAGCTTGATAGAGCTTAAGGTTTTTTGTTTTGCTTTTCAATTTTGAGCTCCTGTTTTAGAAAACGAACATCGATTGTTATTCCATATCTTGTTCATAGTACTGAAGGCCTGAAATCCTTAGATTTTACAGGCCATTTTTACCATATGAGAGAAGCTCTAATTATTTCCTTTTCATAGAATTTGCAGAGGAGTTATAAAGTAGCATGATATGGTGCCTTTGTTGGTGTGGATTTGGTGTATTGCATGTCAAAGCATATCTGTTGAAGGATGTAGATCACTGTAATACTGAATAATGACCCAAATTTAAGGATTTTTCCAGCTACACCTCCCTCTCCCCCCCACACACACTTCCACCCTTAGATGGTGATTCTGAGTCAGAGGCTAGTCCCAGGAAGACTGGATTCCAGTTTACTGAGACCTACTGTAAAATCTTGTGTGTTCTCAGAGGTAGAGACCTGGATAAACAGGTCTAGTCTCTTGGAATTCTTCCCTAATGGTATGCAGGAAAACTTTTCAGAAACACGTATGATCATCACAAACCAAGGACAGATCTAGACCCACATCTCTGTATCTGTTGGAATTGCTCTGGCATCTGCAACAAAGGGGAAATATTCTTGATGTTCTTACTTGAAGACTCAAGATGGTATAAAAGTGTGCTCTTGTAGCCAAAGCTGAGTCAAGTATATATAAGTGAGCAATAGGCCCAGCAAGTCTATGTAATTTATTTAGTGTACTTTATTTTTTAAAATGTTTGACAAAGAAATTATCAGATATTCCCATTTGTTTATAATGAATATATATAGCCAGCAAATTAGAGATTGAGTTATTATTTTGAATTTTAAAAAATGTATTAAAGTCTGAACATATCTCCCAAAATGGTGTATTTAAACAAATGGAATTTTAACATCATAACCATGAGTGATTACAACATTCTTTTTCTTGTTTTCCTAAAAAAAAAAAATCTATTTAGCATGGTTAGAACCAGAGATTAGAGAGTATAAATCAGCATTCAATAATACTTTGTTTTTAACTTATGGGAAAACATCTTACCCAGTTCTACTGTGTGCATATGAAAAGGGGTGGCAATAAAAATTACAGTGACCAAAACAGTTTGCTACATGATTTTATTATTTCATCTGCCTTGTTTGAATCCCATGAAAAGTAGATGTTGATGTAAAATTTGTATCTCCCATTGTCTGGCTGCATCTGCCACCACAATCTTTGAATTGCGAGGCAGATGCCACAACTGTTGTTGAAAGAATAGTAGATTGACCTTGGGTTAAGATGGAATTCCTTTATTGTGCAGACACTGCAGTAGCCAGGGTGCTTTAAATGACTGGCGTCAGTTCTGCTGGCACTGGCCATAGGCCTCTATTGTTCGTGTTCAATTGTATTCCTTGCTTACTGTTGCTTATTGAAGTGGAAGAAAAGAATTTGAGGAAAAGTGTTCCAGACGTTTCTAATCTGTTTTAGAATTTGAGGGGTTTGATAACCATACTGGTTGATGAAAGCTCTGGTTTTTCCCCCCTTCATAGGAGTTAAAGAAGGTTGCACTGCCTCCATGGAGCCTTCTTCAACCATTGAACTCCCAGATTATTTGCTGTAAGTTTTCTGTCTACCAATGGAGAAAGCTATTTAATTTTAGAAAGTTTGCAAATTCTTTTCCCATAATTTGCAAATCAAAAAAGTAAGAAATTCCAGAAATAGAGTCCTGGAGTCACCTCTGCAATTGAAAGCTGCCATTAAGCCTCATGTCCCAGATCCACCCTTGTCTACCGGAGCAGGTTGCGCCTCCCCTGCTCAAAGCTGTGTTCATTGGCCTTTTAAGTATAGAGAAGCTTGCCCTTTGTTCCAGGGCCAGGCCAAGCATTTGATTATGGAAGATTTCAGGGATCTGACTCTTCAAAGCTGACAGTCCATCAATGCACAGCCTCTAAAGGGGGCCCAAAGTGCTGACAAAGTGCTTGAACCTCTGCACTTAATAATACTGAGTAGACATAGGTTCACTTTTATGTAAATAAAGGTCTACTCTCAAATTAATTTTAAGAGGAAAGAATAGTAAAATTTCATTTCACCAGTTATAAATTTTTCTTGTTGTAACAACAAGTTGCTAAATGCTGAGCTGGGAATGTTTTTGTAACTGCTTATCACAGAAATTATAACTTGGACATATAATTCTAGCTTTTTCACACAATAAAAGGCTTCTCTAAGAAGAAAATAATTAAATTACAAGTGCCTAGAAAAATAAAGCATGAAATAGCAAAAAGATCCGATGGCAGATAGCTTTGAAAAAGAACAAATGTGCAAAATAGGTAGAATGTAGAAACAAAAATAGAATCTGAGCTCTATGGACTTTTTGTTTCTGTTAGTATCATCTTATAGTGGACAAAGTTAAGTAATGCTTTTAACTTTGCTTTTTTTAGGAAGAGAGAACATTTTAGACTTACAGATGTGTTGTTTCCACATAACCCTAGCATGAAAGCTACAGTCACTGGGAATGAGAAAGCATAAGCTGATTATTGTCTCTTAACTAACAGGAGACTGAGAAGCCATGCTAAGTACTCTGCCATCTGAGATAATGCAAAGCTTTAGAGTTCTGTGAGGGAGCCTTGAAAAGCAGTGGCCTCCAAGTGGTCTTAGGCAAGCAGCCAGCCTTCATGACGGCCCCTTGGCTCCACTGCAGAGGGCTTTCACCTTTCCAGCTGCAAACCCACTTCTCCTTAGACTTCTGAAAGTCAGGCCTTGGAGAGACACCATCAGGTCGCCACTAAGATTCTCCCGTCCCGTGGTGGATTTTAAACCCCTCTTTCATTGGTAGTAATATATTCCTGTTACATTCTGCAAAATCATGTGGGGAAACTAAAAACTTAGACTTTTCGTCCTGAATTCCAGCCTGCTGCTGTGTTTGGCAGCCTAATTAACTAATTCTAAATTTAAGAAGGTTTTTTAGGTTACTGTTTAAGAATTATTGCTACATCTGCCTCAGTGCATTTTTTATGTTTGTCACATTTCCAGGGCTGTTACTGTGTGCTTAATTTACTTAAAAGCAATTTATTTTTCCAAAACTAAAAACTACATTTTATACCCACCAATACAACATTCTCTAAAAATGATGAGAACATTACCAAAACACACAACTTAAGTTGCCTCGTAAATAAAATCAAAAGGAGGTGCTATAAAACCTTCATGATCAGTCTTTGGATAATTCATATTTAACCACAGTATTGCTAATTCTTACATAAACAAGAATTTTTTGTAACTTATTGTTGTGCATTACCCCATCTATATGCATTTTTATTCTGTCACTGAATTAAGAACCAATTGTAAAATAAGAAATTTTGTTAAAAATACTGAAGTATTTTTTTATTTGAATTCCAGTATAATAAAATAGCAACATAGTTGTTGACTTATTTGGTGTTTTTCCTTAACAAAATTATTAAATAAAATTCTGAGGGTCTGATTTTGAAAAAGCAAGATAAATACATTACACCACAAATTAAACCTGAGTTTCAAGATTGGCTTAGCCTTTATGCATACACACACACACATATGTATCCTTATCCCTAGGAACCTCTTTCACCCTCGGGGCTCCCTCTGGTGTGCAGTAAGACAGCAGTCTGGGAAGGACTGCTTCCCTGTGTGGCTAGCTGTGTTCCTTCTACAGCTGAGACACCAGCAAGGCAGCTCTAAATCAGCATACTACCACTGTCTCAATTACACTCAGAAAATCCAACCTCCACACTTTCTAACTCAGCAGGAATAAAAGTATTAATGAGGACACTAAGTTTGTGCACGCTTCACTTTTCTCACATTTCTAGCAAGGCATCTGTGATGCAGCAATTTAAATAAAACTGGAAAGATTATATAAAACCTCTTGGAGAGGAATGAGCTCCAAGATGTTACCACAGTAAAGGATAAATGTGCCTTCAAGTTGTATCCTAATGCTCTTGCTAGCTGTCTGAAATCTCAGCTTTTATCGGAAATAATAAAGGAACTTTCACATTGTATGACAGAGGCACAGAGGGCAAAGAACCAGGCCTCATGTGATCCTAGTTCTCAGACCATGAACTAATAACAATATTAAAATGGTATTTTAACTTATTTGCCACCATTTATAATCTGGTAATTCTGAGGAATAGTCACACCCTAAAAGCAAAATCCAGATTTGTGATATTTTATTAAGAAAGTAAATTAGACTAAATAGGACTTTACTGACTTTCTGTTGTATATAGCATGATTTACTGTTTGAAAAGAACTAGAGAAATAGCTGGTGTTTGGTACTGCACATTTGTAATCTCAGCATTCAGGAAATAGGGGCAGGAAGATTAGGAGTTCAAGGCCAGCCTCAGCTACATGGTAAACTGGAGGTTAGTTTGGACTCTTGTCTCAAAAATCCTAAATGGAGAGCTGGAAAGGTGGCTCAAAGGTTATTCCAGAGGACTGGAGTTCAGTTCCTAGTACCCACATCAGGCTATTCACAGCTGCCTTCCAGGGGATCCAGTGCCCTCTTCTGGACTCCAAGGGCGCCAGGCATGCACATTGTACACATACATACATGCAGACACACACACACAAATACAAATAAATAAATCTTAAGAAATAATCATACAAAAGGAGAGGGGACAAGCTAGAGAAATTTTCTTTTTGATAAATTTGTCTAGTTAGAAATAACAGTAAAGGAAAAGAGGGAGCAAGCTGGAGACCTCTAGTTGAAAATTTCTGCTTCCCTGGGTTCTGAAAGACACCTCCTCTCACCAAGCAGTGGCTCCAAGGACAATTTTGACTTCAGTGTTCAGTAACTATGTGGCATTCTTCTAGTGTCATGTTATACTTCTGCTGTGATAGAACTTGTAGCAGATGGCTTGGCCTATTCCATTGGTGTGCTAGTGAATTGTTTTGTATAGAGACAGGCTCAAGGAACAATCTGGGTAAACAATTTTCTTTTTATATAGGTGCATTTTATATAGATGTATAATCTTTTCCACATTTGTTCTTCTTCATGGACACTCTTAAGGACTTCTATGTGATCATTTCACCGGGAAGGTCCTGGGAAGGAAAGACCTGGCAGCAAACCAGGATATTAGTGATATGTGCAAGGAGGCAGTCTCTAAGTATTTGGCTTAAATCCTGGACTCATGCCACCATGTTTATTTCTACTCTCCTTTTGTTGTTGTTGTTGTTTTCTTATTAGAAAATATATTGCTATCGTCTCCTATGAGCAACGCCAGAATTACAAGGATGACTTCAATGCTGAGTATGACGAATACCGGGCTTTGCATGCGAGGATGGAGACTGTAGCTAGGAGATTTATCAAACTGGATGCACAACGAAAGCGCCTTTCTCCAGGCTCAAAAGAGTACCAGGTAAACGAACTCATTCTTGGGTGGACAGACCTTTCTTTCCATGGTCTACCAACCCTAGCCATCTCACTAGCCTTCAGGTTAACCAAGCTGTCTAGCAATCCAGCCACTCTGTTGCTTTAAGAAACAACATATTTGAAATAGTTCTTGAGAAAAAGTAAGCAGGGTGGGAAAAACTGTGTGCCACTATAATATATTAATTATTGCAGAACATACCAAACATGACTAAATAAGAAAAAAACTGGGGTGGGGGGGCAGCTGGAGAGATGGCTTAGCAGTTAAGAGCACTGACTGCTCTTGCAGAGGACCCAGGTTTGATTCCCAGCACCCACATGGCAGCTACGAACCATCCTTAACTCCAGTTCCAGGGGAATCCGAAGCCCTCTTCTGACCTCCACAGCATTGCACAACACAGGTGCACTCAAATACATGCAGGCAATACACTCGTACACATAAAATAAAAATAATAAAATATTTAAAGGAAATAAAAGAAAAAACCTGCATCTTATAATTCACATACATGTTCCTAGGTATGGCATTTTCCCCTATAGCTTCTGTTTCACAAGTGTTTATTTTTATTTTTATTTTTTTAATATATTTTATGTGTATGAGTATATTGCCTGCATACATGTGAGTGCACCCTTGTTGTGAAATGCCTCAGAAATCAGAACAGGGCTTTGGATTCCCCTGGAATTGGAGTTAAGGACTGTTCATAGCTGCCATGTGGATGCTAGGAATTGAACCCAGGCCTTCTGCAAGAGCAGTCAGTGCTCTTAACCACTGAGCCATCTCTCCAGCCCCGTGTTTATTATTTTTTATGACCTCATTCTAACTTAGACTTTTAGGAAAATTGCAGGCATAGAATATAAAGGAGATATAATACTATATTTAATTGAATCTAAGTTTTCTTCAGTTGAAAGAGGCACCATTGTATTATAGTCTGGTAGCTTAAACTAGGATACATTATTATTTATCCTAGTTTTGTTCAATTTAAAAGAAGTGCATATCTTAAGTTATGAAATAGTTAGAATATAATACTATGTTTCCTTTTTAAACAAATGTTATGTCTGCACATATGCACTTATGCCCTGTTTAATGTCCTCTTGGTATCCCTTATATAAACTGAGGGACATTTTGATAGTGTACACTGTCTTTTGCTGGATAGTGCTGCAGTAAATAGCCTTGTATTTGCATCCTAAACAAGGCACATAGATCTGCAGAATATGTAGAACCACTGATGAGTCAGTTTGCATTTGGCACTTTGATAGCTGTTGCCACGTTGCCTTCCATAAAAATGGTACCAAGTTAGCCAGGCGTGGTAGTACAAAACTTTAATCCCAGTATCTCTGTGAGACTGAAGCCAGCCTTGTCTACATAGTGAGTTCCAGGTCAGCTGGGGCTACAGGGAGACCCTGTCTCACCACCTCTATTTCCTACACCAAAAAAGGTTTTCTCTTCTTATTTCTAATTTTTTTTTTGCAGAATGTTCATGAAGAAGTCTTGCAAGAGTATCAGAAGATCAAGCAGGTGGGTATCCACACTGCGGCTTTCTGGCTTGTAGTTGAGAAGTGTTATAAATTCTGTAACCTAATTCCTCACTTTTTTTTTTTTTATCTGCAGTCTAGTCCCAATTACCATGAAGAAAAATACAGATGCGAGTATCTTCATAACAAGCTGGCTCACATCAAAAGACTAATAGGTGAATTTGACCAACAGCAAGCAGAGTCATGGCACTAGAACTCTGCTTGGACCAGAAGATGTGAATAAACTTAAGCTTATTTATTTAAAATTCCAAATGAGTTGCTCTAGAATCTAAAAAGATGAAACTTTGCCTGTTGAAAGTTTCAGTATTAGTAAACTTGAGTTACTTTTTTTCCTTCCATTTTACTTTGCTTTCCTGCATTTTGAAGCTGCTTTTTTTCTGGTCCTTCCCCCGCCCCACCTCCTCAAGACTTGTTTGTTAATAGAAACAATTTTTTAGATATTGGGGATCCAGTGTCTATACTTCAAATCAGCTTTTCCTTGCAAACTTGTGTTTGTCATTAGAAATGATTTTTTTTAGGTATGGGGATGCAATATCCACACTTAAAAGTTGTGTGTATTTAAAAAACAAAAACAAAAAAAAAAAAAGCCAATAACAAAACAGTAATGTGCAAGATGAATTGCTTTTGGATAAACATAAGCCTATTTTCTGATCTTTCTTAATGCGAACTCTTTGCCTTAAATGGTAGACTATTTAGATATTTGCACAAAATACAAAAAAAATCAAAACATTGTTTTGGAGGGTTCAAAAATAGAAAGTTGTGTGAGTATATGTGTTCATTTTTATGCACATACATATATATATATATATACAGGGCGACTTGCTCTAGAATATTAAATGTGCCCTGCAAGTTAAACCCCCATTGCAATGGTTGCCTTAAGGTGTTTGCTAGTTGTATACATGGTGTGGTTCATCATTAGCTGCACTGCTTCCCAGTGATCACAGCAACGGGAGGCACACTGTGGCCTACCAGCGTCTGAAAACATGTGTTCAACTTGTATGTCTGCGGAACTCATGTGGATGTGAGCGTGCATGAAGGTAAAAGCTGCTACTCCCAGTAGGCCAGACGCTCAGGTTAAACAACTGATGAGTGTTACTGTAGGTTTGTTTTTGTTTCTGTTTTTCCTGTCAAGTTTCTACTTCTATTGTGGAAGACAAAAGCATTTCCATTTCAACAGTTTGTCAGCTTTATTAATGTTGGGCAAAAATTTAGATGTTATAAAAATGAAACAGATCTATAGTTTTGGGGCAAAATTATAAAGTTAAATGTGTAGGTAACCTATTTATATACTGCTATAAAGTATTTTTTGAAGAGAGATATGCAAAGAAGCTATTACCTACATGAGATGTATATTTAAAGATTTTTTTTTCATCCTGGATACCAGGAATATAAAAAAGAGTGAATATATTTAACCATAACATACTGTGATTCATCAAACAGCACAAACTTTCATTTCATGGAGTTTATCTGTTGACGTTGATTTAAACTATCACTTGTTTTATCATGTGGGAACGTAAGTTATGTGGTCAAAAATACAAGGATTTTGAACTAATGTTGATTCAAGTTGTGTTGTCTTAGTGTATTGTCTTTTCAAAGTGCTGCCAGTTGAAAAGGGAAGCATTATGTTTACAAATCTGTTTTGAAATGTTTGCCAAAATTTTGGTAGTATCTTTAATAAAGATGTTTGTCTCCGGCATCCAAAAAAAAAAGTGAATAACTTTGTTGTGTGTCGTTGTAAACCAGAAAATAGTAGTGTGGAGAAAATATGACATGTTGATTAACTTTCCTCTTTGGAATTTTTCTAAAACATTAACTGGAAAGATTAGATAATATATTAAAAATACACAGGGTGTATTAATATTAAAAAGAGACCCTTTCACATTACAGCAAAGACATTACTGCACAAATTTGATTTCTATGTAACATAGACTGCTTAGGGAATTCCATTTCTTATAGCCTTGTGGTCCCTGGTGCTCTTTCTTTTATCTCAGAATGAGTACAGTCATTACATGTTAATTTATCTCCAACTTTCAGCAAAATGAAAAAAAAAGAAGCTTAGTTGGGGCTAAATTTGGTCCTCGTATTTCCACGGCAGGGCATCAGTGGTGTTATTTTATGGACATGCTGGCCTTTTGATGAAAGATTGTATGCTGCTATTTCCTATGAGCAATGTTCCTCAAAGCAAGGTTCTTGGACTGCTGGTATTATCCAAATTAGAATCTCTGGGTAGGACTCAGGTATCTGCATTTTCAATTCCCTATAGGTGGCTTTTGCAAGCAAAAATATGAAAGCTCAGTTGATTTAGATGTAGCTCTAAACTTTTCAGTCTCTTAATCTCGAAATGTTGAATTAATTCTAGGTTAACTATTTGGTTTGTGTTTTTTTTTGTTTTAGGTTGGCTTGGGTTAGGCCCATGCCTGTCAGCAGATGCAGATCACTACCTCTGCGTCCTATGAGACCCCTCAGTTGTTTCACTACCAGCTCTTGTTTCAGAACCTATTTATAAACAAGACTTTCAGTTTGTTACTAGTCACCCCTTGGAACTCCTACCCACCTACACCAGCACATCTTCTGGTGTGCAAGTTGGGTAACAATGGAAACTGGAGATGCTTTATGGAAATCCAGCATTGCAGTCTGGCATTGCACACCTATAGACTTGACCACATACCAGTAAAAGCCTTAATTTAGATGTTATTGTAGACATTGGACAGATCCTTGCAAAATGTTTATCTGTTACATATTTGAAAGCTATAAATTTCTGAACTTATTGTTACCCAGGGTTACATCCCTTTTAAAGATGGTCATGGGCCTATTAAAATATTTATAATTCTTTTTTATCTCCCACTGCAAGATTTTTAGATTCTTGCAAATGACTACTTCGCCCAATGAGTGGCTACTTAGCATTAGTTACTCGAGTGGAAGAATACCATTGTTTTTTTGTTTTTGTTAGGTAGAAACAGCACTGTCAAAGTGAAATGAGTTGTGCTGTTGTTTTTTTCATCTCATTTCATCTAAAATAATATAAATTCTTGAAGATTTTTACCAATGGCCACAAACTTTATAATGAATGAATAGCTAAGTTAAAGCAAAGTGAAAGATTAACTGTATGTGTTTTTTTAATGTGGAGAGTTAATCTCTTGTCTTGCTGGTTATTTCCTTGGCACACTGTTATAAAGGTTAGCGTCCAAATTTTTTTTTAGTTGAGCTTTTGTACATTTCATATAATCGTTCTTAATTAAATTTAAACTCCCTCCCCCATCCATGCCCCCCCTAATCCCCCACCGGATCTCATGTATTCCACCATACATGTTAAGTCCTGTCCAGTCAAACATTTGTACCCAGATGTCCTTCAGTGAAAATTCATCCACTGGAGTCCAGTCAGTGATTATAAGTAAGGCATACTCTCCCTCACCCAGTAGTAATCAGGTTCCAATAGTTCTCAGTCTAGGGTCAGCCTGCACCCATTTCTCTCCCTCTACTCTGGGCTCTTGTCTGATTGAGTTGACATGAGTCCTGTGCTTGATGCCACCATTGCCACAAATTCACATGTGGAAGCTTCTAGTGGCCTGAAAGCCTCTGCTTCCCTGTGTTCATGAACCAGCCCTGGCTCTTACAGTCTTTCCACCCCCTCTTCCAAAATGGTCCCTGAGCCGTGGGTGGGTGAGATTTAATATAGAAGTCCTATCCAGGAACACAGTCTGCAGTCTCTTATTCCTTAAAACTTGGCCAGCTGTGGCCTTTTGTGTGCATCGCATTCTGTTGTATAAGGAAGTTTCACTGGTGAGAGTTGAGGGATGCATTAGTTTTCTCTCTACCCCTCATTTTGCTGTGTTCCATGAACCTTAGGTGTAAAGGTTCAACTGTAGATGTGTCACCTAGGACTGGACATCTCAGACACATATTCTCTGTGTCTTACCAGTTGTGGAATTCTGCAGTAGCTTCCATTTGTTGTAAAAAGAAGCTTCTTTGATGAGTGGTATATGGTATGCTTGTTCCTCAGATAACAGTGCCACTACTGCACCAACAGAGGGAGTTTGCTATTCCAGTGGTTATGGTTATTGGGCTTTAGGGCTGGCTTGGACCATTGATTGATTTTCTCCTTTAGCAACTTGGTATATCATCATCTAGCATTATGAGAGCTAAACTTCAGGTAGAAGGCTTCCAAGTCAGTTCCTGGTCTGATGCTCCAAGTCCTATATCCAAAGTATGTCCTGTCGTCAGCAGTAGGATCTTATCTACTAGTTCTGGGAGATAACTAAGAGCTTTGGCAATAGTCTCTGTTATTTTGGAAGTCTCTTGGACCACTCTCACCAACCATTCAAAGGGAGGTCTCTTCTGTCTGGCATGGTGTTCCTTGCCAAACAGCCCCCAGGTATACATCTGCATTAGTATTGAGACACTGTATGTGCATTTCTCAGGGGGGGTTGGGGTATGTTCAGTAGTCGCTATCACAGAATTATGTCATCAGTTCTTAACATTACTACATGCATTGATTATAAAAATCCAGTATTACTTTTCTTTCCTTTCTGATTGATCTTATAACCCTTGTAGGAATTTTCTTTTCTTTTGAAGTATTCACCTTAATATGTAAGACAAATGCACACTTGCATGTTATAAGCAAGATGTTGAAATGATGTTTAAATAGAAGGAGTCCGTCAGTTCCAACACTGCCTGGGTGCCTTATCATCTCTATTAGTGTGTTTTTTGCTTCTGAAACTTGGCTGAAACTCTCAGCCTTTTCAATGACAATGTGAATGGGTGTCAGTATGCTTGGAATACACCTTTACTGCTTCTGAAGTTCTTACATTTTATTACTTTCCCAAGTGTTACTGAACCTTATTTGCACTGGATGGGGGAAAAAAGTCATAGCCAGCACTTTGGGAGGAAGGTTTTGAGAAAGGCTCTTAACTGATACTAATGAAGGCCACAGATGTTGTCTGTGTTCTTTGTAACCTGGAAATTGAAAGTGAACAAGACTGTGAGGCTCATTTCAAACTATTTTTGAATAATATATATATATGCATATATACACATACACACATATATATATATAGTGTTTCTGCCACACTATGTTAAGCCTCTCAAGGGTAAAATGTCACAGGGGGCTTTTCAGTTGTTAACTATGTGGTATCCCCCATTCTACACCAATTTCAACTCAGTAAAAATACTAACTTTCCAATTCTGGTACCTGTTTTTCCTTTGTCTCCTTTCAAGGATCTTGACTTTGTCTTTAGAAAAAACAAAGCCCATGACAAAGGATGCCCTTAATATAAATTGTATCCTGGGACAGAGAGATCACTTGTCAGTGACTTTAGGAAATGGGAACAGGGTATTTGCTCCAGGGCCTGGCCTGTTTTGTAAGTGCTAGGACATGCTGGTCAGAGGCCACATTAAAAGACTAGCAATAGCTCTAATTACCATTTGTTGAACGTTCCTATTTGTTTCAGTTTTGCATGTATCATCCCATTTCTCTTTACCTTCTATCTCCATTTTATACCTAGGTAAACTGAGGCTTAGAAAAGAAACTTGCCCATCACACAGCTAGGAAATGTACACCCATCTGTGTTCTTAACTTCTCCAAATTGTCCTCCTGTGTTCGCATCAGCCAAGACGCATCTTCAGAAGGTGACAATTCTAGTGATATCACTCAGAGCCGACTAAACCCTTTTGATTTGAAAGAAGTAGAATTGGGGGTTTGGAGTGATGCCTAGTGGATTATTCTTGGTGAGCTGATTTGTCTGAAACAATAGAATAAATTTGAAGGGAAACCAAAGTAGTTTTTGAGAACAGATTGTTTTCTGCCCATCCCCTTTACTTTTGACTGTGTTCAGTCTGAAACATTGGCTGTTTGAAAATGGGGCAGTGCAAATTAGAAAGAGAAGGGCACAGTCTTGTAATATTGTTGTTTTTTTATAGTAAAAAGCTGTCCCAGAAACAGATCTCTAGCTTTAGCAGATGCCCAGTTTAAATTAAGTATAAGGACATCTGAAAAACTAAATAGTTAAGCTCTGTTTTCTAAAATTTTTTGAGGGAATAATTTTGAAGACAATAAAGGAAGCTTTAGTTGAGTGCTGTTATTAAAAGTCTAGAACTGTTGGTGTCAGCACCGACTCTGGCTAGGTTTACAAGGAGCCTCAAACATGAATGAGGCTCCAAAAGTCATTCTGTGTCAGCAGCTCTTCCCATCAGACATCTGACATTATATTTGTTTTCAAACTTCTCTCTTTGTCCTTGGCTCTAAAGTGAAACTGTATCTCCTCATTGAGCTATGGAAGAATTTTCATTACCTAAAAGCATTTGAGAATTTAATGGAAAATAGCTACCTAACCTACAGGTTATCTGCCCAATGCAAATAATATTCATTGAAGCATTGCTTTCCAGTGGTGAGTCCATTTTGACTGATTACAAAGGGGGCTAAGGCAGAGAGAGGCTTGAGGTTTCGAGGTGGGGTGTTTGGGGTTTATTGACTGCTAGACATACATACCTGCTCTTCTGGTTCTGCCTTTCAGAGATTGGGCGGAGAGGACGGCAGTGGCAGCAGGTGGCTCTGATA